TTCCCTCGTCTTTAGAAGTTTTTAAGTCTGTAAAAAAGAAGTTTTTGGGGAAAAAGAAGAAGTAGTATTTATTTTTATTTTTTTAGACTTTAGAAACTCAGAAGCTGATCAAATATCGGGTTAAATATCGGTGGGGTGGTCGATGTCCGATATTCAGTTTTAAGGCCGATGCAGGCCGATACCGATAGGGGGCCGATTATATCGTGCATCACTAGTTTGAACGGTTTGCCTGAACTGTCTTTGGACTCCTGAGCCTGCCTGTTCTGATTTGTTTGCCTGATCCGGCTTCGGACTCCTGCTCGGTCGCCAGGACAGCACTGTGGACACTCTGGGCAGCGCCCGTCGTACCTTGTTGGTAGCCCACCAGCTGAATCCTACCTCCTTCTCTGGCTGACTGAACTTGTAAACCAGGTTAGTCACTCACGTTCATAATCTTCCTCTGTTAGATTTACGTGGTCACTAACCTGAGTTTCCTCTCTACAGGTTCTCCCGCCTTGGCTGCTGCTACTACAGAACCGCAGCCCGATGTTTCTAAATAAATGCTTTTTGAGTAATCCCATTGTCTGTCTTGACTGAATACTGGGCCCTCAGTTCTGTGCTGTGACAAGTGGCCCTCAGAAAAGAGTCGAAAGAAGAATAAAGAGAAAACAAGAAGACACACAGGAAGTCTGTTTCAAAAATATAAACAATAAATGAATATAAATGCCATTGAAGAGTAAACAGTACTAATTAATACAAGAAGTATTTGGTGGCAACAAAATCTTCCTCTTAATCCGTCTATAGTTGCAGGTATCATTGCAATTGCAGTTTACCATCTGCTGGCTCTGCGCGCGTGTGCTGCTTCATTTTTGATTCTGGTACAAGTTTAGTTGTACAAGACGAGTGGCTGAAGCATCTTTGCTGCTCCAGCTGCGCGGTGGAAAGTGGGTCTGATGCGCGTTGGGCAGAGCTACCCTCTCTTTTCATTGTCTGTAGCAATGGCGGCTATAGTTGCTGTGATCAGTGGGAATAAAGTAGTTTTAATATGTTTTTAAGTGAGAAAGTCCACATGAAGACTTCATCTGTGCAGTCAGTTAATCCAGAATCTAGTTTTCATGTATGTAATCCAAACTGCAGGCACCAGGATAATAAAAGCGAACATGTTTTGCTGGGCAATTTCAGCATTTTAAGTTATTTTAGGCATTAATAAACCGTTTCAGAGGAGTGATTATAGTGATCTGTATCATCAGCGATGTGTCTGTCTCCCTGCCAGCTCCCAGATCAGCTTCTCTGATTGGTTGACGCGCGTCCATCAGCAAAAGTTAAATTTTTCCAATTCCAGTAGCTGCTGCATTTGCAGCACGTTTTGAGTGTCAGATGCTCAAAATCCCATGACGCGTTGCTTCAGCTGCACAGCTGCACTGCACTTGCTGCTCAAAATGCGCTGCAAGACCTTTTGCTGCACCTTGATGTACATCAACCAATGACTTTGCATTAGAGACTGACACGGGAGTGGATTTTCACTCCTGTCCTGTCCCACTCCCACAGAAAGAAATTGTGTCCCGTCCCAATCCCGGGCCAGAGTAGAAATCTTAATCAGTTAAGTTCCTGTTTCTAACTGTAGTAACTGTTGGTCCCTCCATTGTTGTTTCTGAGTGCGGGTGAAAAACTCGGGTGAAAACTACATGACCCAAAAACCAACAGTTTTTGGGTCATGTAGTTTTTTTTGACTCGCATTATAGTGTAGGCTTCAAGGAAAAAAACTACAAAATGGCGGAGCCAGTACTGGATTTTTTTTCTTTCTATTTTATTTCATTTTTTGGCATCGATACTAGTTTTTTTTTTTTTTGTTACTATTGGTTTGCTCCCGCTCCAGTCTGCTCCTGTTAATGTTTAATCCTGTACCTTACCAATCACGTGATCGTTACTAATACTGACTCCCATCCCATTCAGGGATTCCTGAAAAAAGGCAGAAGATGTCTTTCAGTCACCAATGCTCACATTCAGTGACAAACAGGAGCTCTTTCAAGCTGGGCACCGTTTCATTCACAACACCTGTCCCATCAACCAGGAATCAGAATCAGAAATACTTTAATAATCCCAGGGAGAAATTACTTTCATTACATTAATCCATCTGTAATAGAGTGACTATAGGACCAGTTGATATCACACAATTTGATACAATATATATAATTATGGGGTCCCTGCTCCATCTCTCCAGCAGGGGCGGAGCTAGATAGGGGGCCAGAGGGGGCCAGGGCCACCCTTAGCCAATCATTGGCCACCCTAACCTGTTTTCCCTCTAATACAGATGGTGGCAGCAGTAATACTCTCAAGTGGAATGTTACAACTTATTAAACATTTTCATTTTCTATATGTAAACAATTACCTGACAACAAAAACCCTGTGGTTAATTATGCATATCAATATACTAACATTAAATAATTCACACCATTTTCAGAACTAGTTTTGTCTTATAATGGTTAAAGAGAAAATTTTGCCTCTGTAAGTTATCCAGGAATCTTCACTGAAATTAGAGATAACTAACTACTTAAATAATACTTAATAAGTAATTTAATGTAGATAGATTGGTACATGTAAATATTAATTTTATGCTGAATGATTATTAATAAAAGTAGGTTAGTAATGACAATGAATAACTCAAAACTGAAAGAACTTTGTCCACTCCACCTTTAATTTAGACAGCATGGATGTTTAAACATATGCGTATATTTGTTAGCGAAGGCTGTAGAAAACTATAGTTTGTGTTTATTTAGAAAATACAGATGGTGGGATTCTTCATTTTCCTGTTGGAACACTGTAGATAGACTCTCAGGTTCTGCCACCTATCCAATGTACACTATCCTTCAGTGTACATTGGTTATTGCCTGGCCACCCTGACTAAAGTTTTCTGGCTACGCCTCTGCTCTCCAACAGTTTGGGGGTCCTTGGCCTGGAAAACGTTGAAGACCCCTGCTCCAGGGGACTGAGCCCCCCTGCTCCAGGGGACTGAGCCCCCCTGCTCCAGGGGACTGAGCCCCCCTGCTCCAGGGGACTAAGCCCCCACCGGCTTTACTCCTGGAGGCGCCCCTGCTTGACAGGAGAAAAAAAGCTGGCCCTGATCCAACTGGAAGTCCGGCCGGCATCTTCTGAAAGTGTTGCCTAAACATCGAGCTGACAGACCCGGTGGACCTGAAAAGGTCCAAAGTTAGAGTCCAAGCGGTCCGATCAGTGGCCCAAACCCAAACGGTCCGGTTCGACGCACAGAGTTCTAGGATTTTTGGGCTAAAACCAAAAACCGGCGCTTTGCAGAAAAAAAGTGCAGCTATATGTTTCCAGTGAAACTGCAGACAGATTTAAGTGTCTTTCTGTTCAAACTGCGGATCAGATCAGATCTGGACCGACAGGACAATCACCGAACCTTTACAGCACATTCACTTTTTAACCTCTAAAATCCCAGGGAGCCAAACTTACCCGTCAGTCCGGTGCAGAGCAGACAGAGGAGCAGCTGGAGAACATGGCTGTTGCACATGATAAAAAAGAAATAGATAAAAAGCGGCTCTGCAGCGTGGATCAGGCGGCTGGGTTTACTGTAAAGGACGCGTGAACCGTGGACGGTCACGACTTAACGGGACAGATTTCCTGCAGTTGAGGAAAACGGTTTAGTAACCAGACTGGACCCGCCTACAGAGCAGGGAACTGTCTCGGTACTGCCTCCCCAGACAAATCACCAGCTTTAAACCTGCAGAAGATGTGTGTGGGACCACTGCAGAACATAACCAGAGGAGCAAAACCTGAAGCAAGGAGTTATTTTCTCCTGGAGGACGTTGGAGGGCTGGCTGGTAAAGTTCAATCTGTAATCTGATTGGTCTTTATGTTCTCAGTCTGCAGATTAACCTGCTGTTCCCACACTTTCTAAGAGTAAAATGGGATTGAGGCTATTAGTTATCAAGTTAATATAATGTGCAACCAACCAACCAGTTTTCCTCTGAGACTCAGACACCCTGTCTATCTGATAATGCTTTTCATCAGAGTGCTTCAAGTTATGTTGCTATAGGGTTAAGCTGCTGGAGGACATGGGGACCACTTTTCCTCTCTGCTCCATGCATGGCATAAATATCATTAAGCAGAGACTGCAGTTGCTTACGGGCCCACAACTTCTTAGGGGCCCCATCACTGACACTTTGTGGGCCCTGTTCGCAATTGTAGACTAGGACGTCTCTTTGCAGACGTCCTTTCAAACCCACCTGATACTGAAGAGACTGACCAGACCATATTTATACCACAACACATGCCAGATCAACATGATGGTGAGACAGTTGGTAATAAATACACTCATGTAATATTTTTCGAACCGCAATAAAGATCTTAAAAGAACAATGTATTTGAGCATTTTATTTTTTACACTACGACTTGGAATTATGGGTAATCCAGAGCATAGATTAAAAACATAACCGTTAGGTACAATGTGTTAGCGACGATGGATATCAAAAAGAGGTACTTAAGCAGATTCCAGAAAAGAAAAAGCAAAGAAGAGCTGCTGGAAGAACGGAACAAACTTCCCAAAATACACACGTTCTTTCAATGAACTGAAGAGGGAGAAGAGGACGTTGCTGCTACAGTGAGTAAAGATGGCGACCAGGAGGTGAATGGAGAGAGCGTGGGTGAGGATGGGGGCTGTGAAGAACAAGGCAGCCCAATGGCTTGTTGTGCTAACGTGGTGGTTTGCTGTCACCAATGGTTCCGTTCAAGGTCACTACATTATACACTGCACAGTTACTGTTTTCCAGGTGTGATCTTATACTACTGAGAATTGCATAATTGTTTCTTTTTGGCCGATTTATGGAACTGTCGCCGTTATCCTAAACCTTTTTCGCGTGTTGTACTTCATATGGGGCCCACCCAGATAATGTTGCTTAAAGCCTAAACTCAGTGTTTCTCAATAACAGCCCAGAAACCTGTCCGATCTAGAGTAGATCTGTGTGGAGGAATGGGCCAAAATCCCTCCTGCAGTGTGTGCAAACTTGATGAAAAACTATAGGAATTGTTAGACCTCTGGAATTGCAAACAAATGCTACTGTACCAAATATTAACAT